ATTCCTTTGCTCCTCTCTGGACTGACTGCTATCGAGCCCTACCACTCAGTTTATTCTTTTTTTTTTCTTCTTAATTTTAAGGAATAAAAGAAGGAAAACATATTAACAAACAGACATTCATTTATAAAATAGCATTAGAACAATACAAACAAAACAGAGTTACAGACAAAGTTGTAGGAAATTAACAATTGTTGTATTACTTATTGATATCTTCAAAGTGGTTTCTCAAGAAAACAAATAGAGACATACAAGACTGATCAAACAAGTAATCATTAACTGTTCCTTTCTGTAGAGCAATAGAAGACAGTCCTGCATATACATACTTGCATAATTTCCCCTTCACTTTATTCTCTGTTATTGCTTCCTTACTCTCTTTTAAGACTTCTAGTTTCCTCTTTCTTGTTTTACTACCTAATTTTGTGAGAGCACATCCTTCAGCATATCTCTGAAAAAGGAGCACATGGGACATAATTTTTCTGACAGATTTACATATCTGGAAATTTGCCATTCTGCCCTTTCACTTAGTTGATAGTTGTACTGGGTATAAAAGACAAAGTTGAAAATCATTCTGAGGATTTTGAAAGCATGGTCCACTGATTTTCAGCTTCTAGTGTTCCCCTTAAGAAATCTAATGCCATCTGAGTTCCTAATCCTTTTTCTCTTTTATTTCTGGAAAAAAATTTCAACTTTAATTTCCAATCTTCTTTTGACTTTTTTCCACTAGCAATATTTGTAATTTTCACAACTTCTTTCTTTTTTATTATGTAGAGGACCACCTAGGCAACTCTCCTTGAAAGAGGAGCAATTGTCTCCATTTTGGCTGAGCCTAACCCTATTTCCATGTACTGATATGTACAGAGCTGGCCAGGACTTTTCCTTATCCCTTCAGTTGGCTTTAAGCAATGCATATTGGTCTAGCCAAGGTGCTGATGGTAGTCTTTGGAGATGGCAAGTGTGTTTCGCCTTGGGATAGAGGCTATAACTTCCTTGGGCTTCAAACATTACACATCAGAGCTGAAGCACTGACCCCAAAACATTAGATACTACCTCAGTTATGTTATGCAGATAATTCTTTCTGCACATCCTTCTCTCTGCATTTGCAGAGGTGATGTCAGCTCATAGGACTCACCTACTTCCCATGGTTCTCACAGTCACTCATCCTCAAGCCACTGCTTTCTTCATGAATGAATAAAAACTGGTTTCAGCCTTGGGTCGAGGTCTTTGTTCCAGATGGCCATCACTGCGGCTGGACCTAGGACCCCTTGGCTCCCCACAACTACTAATATGCCTTAGTGTCTTTATTCTCGCCATGGGTTGCACTGGAAGTGGTAGATTGGAATTAACTTGCAAAAATTCTAATAACTTTTCATAGGATTATAAATATAAACTTCCTGGGCCATGCCGAGCACTGGGAAGGGCTCACTATACTATTATTTGTTGATAGTAATTTGCTTTTGATTTATATATACCTCCCTGAGGACACTATAATTTTTAATGTTGTGTAAGTTGTTTGTTCTCATTCTTTGAGCGGAACTGGAAAATGGTGGGTTTTGTTTTCCATGGTGCTGGGGATCAAACCCAGGGCCTTATGTGTGCTAGGGAAGCACTCCACCACTGAGCTTCACCCCCAGCTTGCTGGTAAAGGGCTTAAGTCTTCCAGGCATCTGTCTAGCAACATACTCTTGGCCACCATATCTTTAGCAGCTATGTGGAGAATGAGGAAGTGCCATGCCACCATTAATGTGCAGCCTTTTATTTACTGTCTATATTTTGGCATGATACCTTGCCCTAGACTACTGCCAAGTTCAAAATCCCTATTTGAACTTTTGGTTCCTTACAGGGCTTAGGGAGAGGACCTGGTGGTTACCACCCCTTTTACCTTTCACAGAGTTGTGAGCTACTGTAAAGACACCCCGTTTCACCCTGCTGTCTTGCCTTCTGGGTGCCTGGGCTACCAAATCCTAAGCCTTTACGGGGGGCTGTGTGGCGTGAATGGGCTTTGCCTTCTGTAATCTGCTTGTGACAAATTACGCTCAATTTTCCAGCTTCCGGAATCTTGCTGGCTGCATTTTCTTCTTTCCTGTTTTGCCATCTGATTTTTGTGTCTTTCAGTTTCTTCTCCATAATTGTTGGTACTGGAAGAGGAGGTGAAAGCGTGTACCCCTCATTCATCTTAGCCTGGCGTCTGGTGGGTACTCAATAGGTATATGTAGAGCTTACTAAACACACAGCTGAGGGCCAAGGAGGTAGCTCAGTGGCACAGTGCCTGCCTGGCAGGCGCCAATGTCCTGAGTTCAATTCCAGGTACCGGAAAAGAAAAACCAAAAAAAAAAAAATAAATAAACACACAGCTGAGGGCCGGGGATATAGCTCAGTGGCACAAGCATTTGGCGAGCACAGGGTCCTGAGTTCGATTCCTGGTACCAAAAAAACCCACCAGACAGGTGATTTTAACGGGGAGTGACTGTCTATATGTTGTTGATTTTTTTCTGAGTTACTTTTTTTGTTACTTTCTTTTCTGATTAAAAAATATCAGATGTAAACTAAAGAGAGGTGGGTTATGAATGAGCCCTAGGAAATAAATGATACAGCACTTGGTAAAGACCCATCCTCACTGAGACCTTGTTTAAGGAAGGCCGTCACTCTGGGATCGAGGTTTCAGCTCGTTTCTCTGGGGAGAAGCTGGGATGGAGATCTGATCTTGTGTGGGGCTGAGAGTCTCCCATTCTCCCTGGCCTTTGTAAAATGAGAAGCTTGGGATAGACTGTAGGAAGCCTGTGCCAGGCCCTGGGGCCTTTTATTCAGGAACAATAATTGTCCTCAATGCCCTTTGAGAAATAGCCAGGTCAATACCAAACAGGTCCACAAACCCCAGGTCTGAGTTCTTAATAGAAAGAAAAAAAGCAGCCCTGAAATTCCAAGCCAGCACTTGGTTGGGTGGTTGTCACCTTTATGGTCAAAATCAGAGCCCCCAGCCCCGACGGGGCCTGTGTTTGCTAAACTCCTGTGTGCCAGGTGTCATTCTGCAGGCGGGGGGTCCAGTGGGGAACAGGAGGGTCCAGCGTCAGCTCATTCCAAAGGAGAGGAGCCTAACAAACGGGACCTTTCCAGATCCAGACACTGACCCATGTGATGAAGAAGGAAGGGGTGCACGTGGGGAATGGCCGGTGGGGAGCAGGGCACAGTGGGGGCCACGCATGACTGCAGGACACAGCAGGCCTTGGGAAGGGGAGAGTGGTCTCAGAGCTTGAAAGCTTCGTTCTGGGAAGTGTGGACAGGCGATGTACTCCTGCCCTCATCCATGTAAGGGGAGTCATGGTGTGCAAAGGAGTCAGCCGTCAGCCGCTTGAGGCCATCAGGAGTAGATCAGAGGTCTCGGGCCGCTGCCCCAGCCTGCCTCTGTAAGTGGGGTCGGCCCCTGCCGCAGTCCTAGTACAATTCCACATCCTGCGTCAGAGACTCTGGCCCACGCCTGAGTCACCAGGCTCCCGGGAGAGGATGCTCAGAGCAGGGCCGTGCACCGGCGGCTGCGCGTCACCGGCAGCCTCATGCTGCTGCTCAGCCCAGAGGCACCGCTGGGAGATTAAACACATTCGCTTCGAGAAAGGCAAAGAAATAACTTCTTTTGATAACCAGCATCTGTTAGTTAATGGGCCTCTGAGCTGTGTACAATTTAAACTTTTTATTTAAAAACAAAGCTCGTTTACTCTCCAGGGAGTTGCACTGTGAAATTATCAGCAGCAACCCCCACCCCCCAAACGTGACTGAACAGACAATGGAGAACATTAATTGTGTTTTGTTCTGAAATGGGCTGGGGCTTGCTTTCTAGGGGTTGAAAGCTCCCTGGTTTTTTTGTGGAAGGGAGGGCCTCGGGGTGGGTGAGTTGGCGGGCCCTGAAATGAACTCTCCTGCCTCAGCCCATGGGCTGGGCGGTGCTGACCTCCACCGACAGTTCTACCTCTTCATGTTTCGGGTCAGCACTGCTGGCTCCCAGCCAAGGAGGCCACAGAGAGAGAGAGGGCAGTGCAGGCCGCAGGGCAGCCGGGCAGGGTCTCTTGCTCAGCACACCTCCTAGTGGGAAAAGGCTCCTGCAGGTCCCACAGAGCACCCCCAAACCGCTTTCTCCAAACATAGACGAATCTGGTCCCCCAGTAGCTGGGGCTGGGAGACAGAAGCCCGGGTCTCTGGCTCTGGGTTCCAGCTGCTCAGATTTGTTTGTTTTTTTGTTTTTCTTCCGGTACCAGGAATCAAACTCATGACCTTGCGCTTGCCAGGCAGGCGCTGTGCTGCTGAGCTAAATCCCCAGCCCCCAGCTGCTCAGGTTTGGAGTCTGGGTCTTTACCTATGGTTGTGACCTCAGGGCAGGGCCTTTCTTTTCTAAGCCTTAGGGTCCCGAAGCGGGGCCCCAGGGGCGCCACACCTGGCCTGGGTGGTGGCCCCTTCACGGGTGTCTGTGAGGCGTTCTGGCCAGCAGTGTGTACTGAGCCTCTTTCTCCAGGTGCCAGGCACTGCTGAGCCCACTGGGAGAGATGGCTTTGGGGGCGCCCCGTCCTCCCCTGTGAATGACCTTCTAGACAGAGGAGGCAGAGAGCAAGTGTGTGAGTAAACAGGACCCTTTCAGAAAGATCAGAACGCATTATACAGAACACAAAACAGGACAGGTAGAGGATGAGGGGAAAGGGGGCTGCTTTGGGGTGGCTAACGGCAGGCCTCCTCGAGGAGCTGACACGGGGCTCGAGAGCTGAATGGAAAGAAAGAGCCAAGCTTCTGGCAGTCTGGGGGAGGACATGTTTGGCAGGGATGGGGGCATGTGCAAAGGCCCAGTGGCAGAGACAGCTCAGATCACAAAAAGGTCATGTGGACAAGGAATGAGGACCCATACTGTACCGGGCAGGCAACAGGGAGCCAGATCCAGGGCTTTTGTCTCAGAGCAGTGGAAGGCTCTGGGGAGCTGTACAAAGGCAGGGCAGGGCAGGAAGGCACAGCGAAGACAGCCAGGGTTTCCCTCCACTGGTTTTATTCTCCTTCACACATCCCCTGTCGGACGCTTCAGTTCCTTTCGTTAGAACCTTAATCCCCTTGGTTGACTTTAATAGCCAGCAAGAACATTTTTCAGGCTGTTTAATTTTATTAAAAGATTCAAATTTGATGATAAATGGTGTCATGCTTCCTTCAAGCCTCAGATACAGGACCTGCTCAACTGTGGACATACTGTCGACAGGCACCATCATCCCCGCTGGGAACTCGCCCATCCCAGTGCTGCCTAAGACCATAAATAATCTAGTTCTTTCTTGTACTTTGGTACATATGCCAGGGACACTCATAGCTGTCTGAGCCCTACAGAGCATATTGGTGGGGTTTCATGTCCCCTCAACAATGAGTAATACGTTTGAGCAATTTTAGCGGGTTGATCGAAGACTCCGCAATCTCAGCGAGGACAAGGGCTTCCCTGGGAAGGCGTCATGAGCCTCACAAAAGAGTGTTCTTCAAGGTCTGGGACAGCAGTCAGCGATAGGGATCGGGAGGAGGAAGAGGGTGAACTCTCCAGCCTACCACCATGCCGGTTCATTCCACAGTCTGGGCAGAGGGCCAGGGCCTGTCCCCACCATGACACACCCCGCTGAACTGAGGGCACCAGTACATTAGTGTTGCAGTGAGGCAGCTGGGTGAGGCCAAGCTCCCTGGGCCTGGTGGGGTCCTTGACCCCTTCTAGGGTGGCCCCAAAGATGTAGCCTGGAGTCTCTCCTTTGTCAGCCCAGCACAGAAAATCTGCAAACTAGGATGGTGGCGCAGGGCTAATTACAGAGCATGTTGGTGCTGCTGCTGTCATTAGTATTAATTACTTTTCAAAGGCTGGGAACGCGGCTCTCCTCCACAGACCTGCCCCCAGCGCAGCCCCGCGCTCGCTGGTGTTCTGCGGGGAGGCAGCCTCAGAGGCCGCGGCCTGCCGGAGGAGGCCACAAGTCTCAGCTCAGATGGAGCCCTCTCCTCTTGCACACTGGCCCTGGAGGACTGGATTTATCCGCACGCAGCGCTGACAGCTTGAGGTTTGATTCGCAGAAGCACAGGCAGATGCCGGCAAATGCCAGCAGTCAGAACTCAAGAAGCCGAGTCGCCCCCAAAGAGACCAGCCCTTTACCAGAAAGCTGAGAAGTACTGAAAGCCTGAAGCGGCATCTTTAATTCATGGTCTCGCTCTGAGTCTGTGTTGCTAAGTCTGAGTTAATAAACTTTAAACCACAACCCAAAGGCTCCGCAGGATCTCAGCCGTCCCATTCCACAATCTCAAGGGCGAGGAAGAGAGCGGGGCAGGGAGCCGTTGGGCAGGGACCCTCAGGGTGGCCCCCTGGCTGGCACCTGTCCTCCAACTACCAAAGCTGAGGAGAGTGTGAAAACCGGGGCGAGCGTTTAGAAACTCAGACAGCAGGGGCCATCATCCCGCATCCAGGGGCAGCCGGACTTCGCAGGTAGCCACGTGGGGCGCAGGCTGAGCCGACAGCTGGCCAGGCCGCCCACGGCGCCCGGCACAGGGGCAGGAGGACAGCCGATCCTTCCCGGACGGCGAGGGGCTCCGGCCTGGCGGGAGTCCGAGGCTCAGCGCTGTCCGGCCGCCTTGGAGCAGGAGGCCGATGAGGTCATAGCCCGAGGAAGGTCAGCCCCGGAAGCAGGAGCAGAAGGGGGACAGGGACAGCTCGGAGGCACGGGCCCCCGCGGCTGGGGGGCCTGTGCGGCGCGGGCCTGGGGGCGTCCCGGGCGTGTCCCCCGCACAGCACCAGCGGGGCCTGGTAGGAGGTGGGGCGCTTCTCCGGGGTGTCGGGGCTCGAGCCGTCCGAGGGCCTCTGTCCGATGAAGAGCAGGCTCCGCCCGCGGGGGTCGCGCTCCACCTTGAAGAGCTCGTACTCGACGTGCGGCAGCCGGATGCCCAGCGCCGCACACCCGTTGGTGGCCGTGACGTCGCGCTCGACGCCCACGGCCCAGCCTCC